CCAGAAAAGGCGGTGAGCTAGCCATCATTGTCCTCATGGGCAGGTAGGGAACGGCCATTGTGGTGGCACTTGCTGACCTCTGTCCCCTTGGCTCCCTACAGCGCAGAGGCCCACCGCCGCGGACCCCCTGCAGCAGCCTACGCCCGGCACGTGCAGCAGTATGCAGGTCTTAGTACCACGCGCTACTGCAGGCTCTGCCCTGGGGCATGGCATCTGAGACAGAAACCCTGAGTGCCTGGACCCTCTGGGGGTCACCTTCCCTAGCATCCTTGGCAGGGTAGACAGTTGCCCACCCTGGCTGGGGGATGCAGGCTGCAGTTGGCCTAGGGTTGGGGTAAGATGGGGGCTCATGCAGAGCACTGTGGAGGGTTGGGGAGGAGATGCCAAGGAAGCCTCAACACTGAGATGCTGGCTGGGGGCACACACAAGGGGCCCAGCCCTGCATAAGGGCTGTGGGGAAAGGGAGAGGGGGCTGGCAGCCCCTAAAGGGTGAAAGAAAGGGTAAGAAGGCCTCACACTACCGCTTTGTCCTCCTGGGCCACTGTGCCTGCTCACAAAGAGGGACCCGCCCTTACTGTCAGGGAAGCTGCACCAGGCATGGAGGTCTTCCACCCCTAGCCCATGGCCAAGCTCCTCTCAGCAGGGACCAGCTACGCAAATGGGGTCTTCCCAGCAGACTGAGAGAGGGGTGCTGCCCACAGAACCGAGGAACCAGAAGACCAAGGACCTTCCTCCTATCTTCCAACACTGTGACCCTGGGATGTCTCCCGCCCAGTGGGAAGAGAGGTCCCCTGAACCAATACTTTGGCAAGAAACTCAGGGAAGCTGGGCTGAGGGAAAGGCCTGGTTCCCTTCTGTTGCCTTTGCTTTCTCTGCAGAAGCTGTGGGCAAAAGCCTGAAGCATGGGCCAGCAGTAGGCACTGGTTTTGGTGACCAAGGCTGGTAGTGACTAATGTGGGAGTGGGCTGGCCTTGGAAGCCCAGAGACATGGTAGAGGCAGGGACTGCCCAGAGGGAGGATAGAGCCCTAGGATGCTTGAGGGAAAACCAGATAACATGCAGTGGCAGGAAGAAACTACCTGGGCTTATCCACCTGTCAACTCAGGCCAGCTAAGCTAACTGGCTATGCCAGGCTTTGGGATCTTTAGTCTAGGAAGAGTGCCCCAACTTCCCTTCTAAGCATGTTTCCCTGAGTATCTCAGTAAACCTCCATTAGAAAAAGAGCACCTGGGCTGGGCACAGTGGCTCATGCCTGTAATCCCAACACTTTGGGAGGCCGAGGTGGGTGGATCACCTGAGGTTAGGAGTTTGAGACAAGCCTGGCCAACATAGTGAAACCCTGTCTCTACTAAAAATACAAAAAAATTAGCGGGCATGGTGGTGGGCGCCAGTAATCCCAGCTACTCAAGAGACTGAGGCAGGAGAATCGCTTGAACCTGGGAAGTGGAGGTTGCCGTGAACTGAGATCACGCCATTGCACTCCAGCCTGGGCAACAAAAGCAAAACTCCGTCTCAATAAAAAGAAAAGAAAGAAAGAAAGAAGAAGAGCACCTGGGCCTGAAGGGTGTCCAGGGAAAAGCCTGGGGCAGAGGTCCCTAGAGACAACTGGACAGTAGGTTCCATAGCCCCCAGGAGCAGGATGTGGCAGGGCAGTCCCACCCACGAGGGCTCTGCTCAGATGTGGGGAGCTGAAGATTAGCCACAATGCAGCCTCCTTCCTGCCTGGGGATGTCCCAGTCCCATACCCTGTTCCTCTATTTCTCCCATGGTAGAGGCTGGAACTGAGGGCTCCTCAGTGGGGTGTGCTTGGCGGGGTGGTCTCCTCTCTGCCCCTATCCTCTGCCAGCCTCTAAGCTCTATGGAGAGAGAACCATGTCCAGATTGTGCTCCTGGTCTTTCCAGCTATTCACCCATGCAGTGTGTTTGTGCAAATTAGAAAAGGGTGCCCCTTCCTCTGGGCACACAGCTTGGTGCCCTTATGCAAAATATAACCTGCACGATTTGCATGGCAGTCTCCAGCACAGTGCCAGGAACATCATAAGCATCTGGCAAATAGTATGATGAAAAGAATGAATGAACAATCTTTAATGTTTGCAAGAGCCACCCCTTCAAGGGTGTTTATGTGACAGTAAAGGCCACACTGTGTGCATCCAGCAAGAACCCAAGAGGAGAGATCAGAAAAGCTACCTGGGGCTAGGAAGCAGAGAAAAGCATTTATGAGACCCTCTCTACTTCTCTGACTAACGACCTCATTAGTAACTGCCAAAGAGTGAACATTTTGAAGGATCTCGCTCATTACAGTGGGTCCAAACTCTGCATTTAAAGATGGTAAATTAATTTTTTTAATGTACTACTTTTTTCCTTTCTTTCCCTCCATCCCTCCCTCCCTCTTGCTCTGGCAGGGAACTGTTTATGAGATGTGGCAGATTGTTACAAATGGGGGAAGAAACGTTTCCAAATTCCATGAGGGAAATAGCTCACAGATGCTGGAGGGGGTTGGGAAGGAGCAGGTGTATCAGGATCCAGAGATCCAGATGGGCTTGTGGGCAGGAAGGGGTGGGAAACGAAGACACCCAGATGTGCTGGGGATGCCACCTCCCAGCCCATGAGCCTGAAACTGGTGGGGTCTCTTCCACCCCCAGCTTGCCCAGCTCCATCCTGCCTCCCTACCAGCTTGGGGTCATCATCTTTAAACAACACTCCAGATCGTTAGAGCCTCATCACTTCACTCTCTAGACTCCTCTGGCCTCTTCTTGGTGCACTGAGGAGTAGATTATGGGGCAAACTCTGGAATGGGGAATGGGATCAAGGACAACTCCAAGTTCAAAGTCAGGAAATTCTCCTCTATTTCCCTCTAGTACACTGACCTTGCACTCTGCTGCTGGTGGGACTTGTATATACTACAAATGCCTGGTCTGCACTCCAGATAGGGAAGCGAGAATGTCTGGGCGCATGTGGTTATATAAAGCCCCACAGTGGATTCTGATGGGTACCGAGAATGGGGAACAGGACCCAGCCTCTGCTGTCAATCCACCTTGGGCTGGCCTGCCTGCCCTGTGTGCCAATCTCCTTACCACCTCCACTCTTGCCAGGCAGGTCCCTCCACAGGAGGGTGTTCCCTGTTCATCTTCACCTCTCCAATTCCTGCCCATCTGTTAAAGCTCGATGATAGCTTCCTCCTTGGGGAGGCTCTTTTGGGCTTATTCAGCCTACAGAACTCTCCATTCATTGGGATCTTTAGCATTTCAAGTCTGAGAACACTCACTCTTGATCAAACTTAATTCTGCCTTATTGTCTCATCTTTCTGCAGACTTAGATTGTGTTCCCAATGGACTCTGACTTCCCAGGTGATAGGTCCATGTCCTGCCCTCCTTCTTGGGCCCCCCTTTCCAAGCACAAACTGACTACTTACTGATACTTACGGGGACTCTAACCTCATCCTCTGCCCTCCAGGAAGTAGGGCGGCACTCTCCACATCTGGAGCACGTTGCCCTTGTAGCCTACTACAGGGCTTTGGGCCCAGCTTCCCTGCCCTGATAGCAGCCCATTCTCCACACTAGGGAGAAGAGCTGCTTCAGGTAAACTGGACACTCTCACCCTGTGAGGACGGCTAAGTTTGAGGAACAAAGTTAATCAGGAGCAGGCCTCCTGGATCTTTCTGTGTGGCAGACTTTTTGGTAAGAGTCCGGGAGCTGTCCAAGGTGCTGGGCTGTCTGTGGTGCTGAGCTGTCCAGGGTGCTAATCGCGCTTTTGCGTGCAGCAAGGGATTCGACTGGTCTGTACTAGACAGACTGCCAATCGTTGTACCTCCCTCCACTCCTTCCCAAAAAGTATTTTCCTACTTAACACTACCCCTGATTGTTCTTCTAGTTTCTATCCCCTTACTTCTTGTAGGTTAAATTGACACTCAATTATTTTGCACTTACTGGTCTCTCTACATGGTTGTACAACTGCACCCAGTCTCCTTTCTTTCCTAAGGGAGCATCTGGAATGGGATTCTGTCTCCCAGATCAGAATGACACATCTCCAAGGGTAGGATTTGGGTCTCATTTCTTCCATCACAGTTTCCCTGAAGGAAGATGGGAGGCTGGCCCTCTCTGATCACACTTGGGGTTTCATCAAGGAATGGACAGAGGGCAGGAGCCACATCTTGTTATAACAGCAAGGGCAGGGACAGCATGGATAAAGAATGTGCTGCATAGGGAAATAAGTGCTAACAGATGTGCTTACCTGGGTAGGGGTGGATGCCATTGGCGAACACAGCTTCTGCAGCAGGTTGCCCATTGGCCTGTGGGGGGAGGCCGGTGAAGCCATTCACCCCAATGGGGGACGGGATGCTAGGCACGGCTGGTGCAGTGATGCCCGGAGGGGTGCTGCCACCTGGGATATTCCAGGGATACAGAAGGGTGAAGGAGGAGGGGAGGCAAGCAGAACAAAGGTGAGGAAGGCCCACCCATAAAGCTCCACTCAACTGTTTCCAAGGACATGTGGATAGACTTGGACCTCACATACCAGCTCAATCTTATCTATGACCCATGCCTTGGCTTATCTCCCTATATGAAGTGACTTCACCTATTCCAGTTGTATCCATCCTTTAAGGCAGAGTTCAAATTCCACCTGCCTAAAGAAGATTTCTCTGACCCTGATCGCTTGTCCTTAGATAGCACATAGACTACTCTCAATGTCCTTGACTGTAATCACACTTGGTCTTCCTTCAGTCCTTTTTTTTTTTTTTTTGTCTTGCTCTGTTGCCCAGGTTGCTGGAGTACAGTGGTGCAACCTCAGCTCACTGCAACCTTCACCTCCTGGGTTCAATCAATTCTCCTGCCTCAGCCTCCCAGGTAGCTAGGACTACCAGCATGTACCACTAGGCCCAACTAACTTTTGTATTTTTTAGTAGGGTTGGGTTTTGCCATGTGGGCCAGGCTGGTCTTGAACTCCTGACCTCAAGTGATCCACCTGCCTCGGCCTCCCAAAATGCTGGGATTACAGGCATGAGCCACCATACCTGGCCCTCCTTAAGTCTTTTTCAGTGCTCTTACTCTCTCCAGCTAAGGCTGGATGAGCTGGTCTTTACTTGGTCACTGGGGAGCTGATATGCCTCTCCAGGAAGTTTTTCTGCTCAGATGGAGTAGGTCTTAATTCTGGCATTCTCTTGTACTGAGGCAGAGAGGTTGTTATACAGCCCAGACTCAGCTCTAGCTCATACACAAAGAAGACACCTTGGCCTCCTCCAGGTGAAGCAATAGTAGTGGTCATGATGGTGAGAATAAAGTTGGGGTCAAATGACAATATCCTGTGTCCTTCCTATGCCAGGTGGGTGGAACCTGAGATGTGGATATTATGGTGATTGTACTGAAAGCCCAGAGGCTGGAAAGGGCCTTCCTCTCACGCAGGAAGCAGGGTCCCTCTGAGAACATGGACCTGAGGCTGGCCCACTGCCTGGGCTCATGTGTATCCCTTGAAGTTGGGGATCAGAGGTGAAGGGTAGTGTTCAAGTTGAGCCCATAGATGGCACAGTCTTTTGTGGCTTTCAGCTGGGAAAGGAACATCTCTCGGATGTTAGGAAAGTTGCTGCTGTGGCCTAGGCACAGAGAGCCAAGGAATCTCAGTGAATGAGAGCCTGGGGTGCAGGAGCAGCCCTTAGAACTAGACTAGAGTGTCTCAACTTTGACACTATTACCATCTGGGGCCAGATAGTTCCTTGTGGTGGCTGTCCTGTGCACCGCAGGATGTATAGCAATATCCCTGGCCTCTACCCACTAGATTTCAGCAGCAATTCCCACTACCAGTTGTCACAATCAAAAATGTCTCCAGACATTGCCAGATGTCCTGGGGATTCGGGGGCATAACTGCAACAGTTGAGACTCACTGGAACGGACAATAGCCAAGATTCAATGAAAAACATGATTTGTGAGCTGGGTCATTTCCAAACTCCTGCCCCTTGATAACTCTTGTGGTTCTCTCTAGCTTGTTGCATAGTTGTCTTAGAAAAAGCCAGTGAGTCTAGGTTGCGTTAAAGGGAAATGGAAAAAAAAAAAAAAAAGCAATACCCAAATGGGTTCCTTCTGTGCTTGGGTCAGAGACTGAACAAGGCCACAGAATGGCCAAGGCTCTTTTCCTCATAGACATTGTAGGGAGATGTCTTCATGTCAATTTCTTTCCAGGTCTCTATTGTTAGTAGAGATCAAGATACATTGTTTCCTGATAAGGTTAAACAGCTTGAGAGAAAGCCACCCCACCCTGAAATCACACCCTAGACTGCATGGGTCCCACATCTCATCTTCCCTTGGATCTTCAGGGATTAGAACATTTTTGAGACAAACTGCCAGAAGGCAAGGTCTCTTGGGCCCAGACACTATGTGCTTTTGCCACAGAATGGTCCGCTGATAGCTGAAATTAGGTCCCAGCCTGGGGCCAGCTGTTCTCCCACCAGGCCAGACCCTGTGTTGGCACCTGCCAGCTCACCTGAGGTTGGGGTCATAGGTGCGGCCGCCAGGCCATTCATGTTGAGGGCCGCCATCTGCTGCATCTGGGCGGCAGCGAAGGCAGCCATGGGGTTCAGGTAGCCGCCCTGTGCGACTGATGCCATCAGGGCCGCTTGCTGCTGCATCAGCTGGGGCAGAGGGAGTGGAAAAAATATCACGTGCTTCCAGGGGGCATCCCTCCCCGACAGGGGCCTCAGCTCCTGGAGACCAATCTCCCAGGCTCTGAGCCCCAGACACCCCAGGCAGTCTGCCACTCCAGAAAGCCCTGATGCCTCTCCATTCTTGCCCTGTACCTCAACAGCTATTAGAGTCCACCGCCCTGAGAGATGACTATGTTTAAAAGTAATGCTAGGGTCTTTGGAACTCTAAAGTTGTTGTTAGGGACAGGGAAAGAGGCTGGTTCTGTGGGTGCTAGTCAGCCCCTTGTACGGCCTGTCATTCGTGGGGAAGTGACATCCAAAGCACTAGAGACATGCGGGATGAGCCTCTGCAGAACTTAACGTAGCACAGGTTTCTGTCCAGAACGGTTTTAATTTGGAGTCTATTGGTAGAAGTGACAGGAGAATTATGAATAGAACCCCAGGCACTCCTAGTGTTGTCACAAAGGTGAGTGCAGACAGGGGAGGCTGCAGAATGTGGCCAAGGCGGACAGTGCTGCAGCAGTGACGTAAGCCTGCATTTTCAGACCCAGAACCGTGGCTGGCCTCAGTGCCACCCACATGGGGGCTGTGGTTACCAGTCTGGAGGCAGCTCCAAGAGAGGCTGACAGAGTGGGTCCGCATGTGGAATAAAGAAGTAGGTGGGCCAGAGGCCTGAGGGGATGTCGGAAATGTGGGTGTGTAGGGGTTTAGGACGCCTCACAGGAGCCCTGCCAGGAGAGACCAGAAGGCCTGAAGTCCCGTTTCATAGAGTGGGGGTTGTTTGCAACCAATGACCTGAACCTCCCCCTCTCATCTGTGCTTCTCGGGGTTCAACGTTGATCTGGCTGAGGGGAAAAGGCTCAGGGTAACCCACGTTTCTGTGGGGCCTCTCTCAGCTCTGCCCCTTAGAACCAAGACAACAACCCACCTCCTCCTGGCAGCCACCCCAACTGGGCCAGCCTTCTTTCACACCCTTCTGAAGTTACACTCCCCGGGTTCATGGGTTCATTCCCGGCCCCTCCTCACTCTGGAGGGAAAGGGCGAGGGATAGAGCAGAATTTTCGGTTATGTGTTCTGCTCTCTGGGGCTCCCAGGGGAGTGAGCTTGAGAACTGCTGCCCGTTCGCGCTGCCACTTACTGCCTGAGCGTAGGCGCCGTAGGCCCCGAACGGGATGGCCATGGGGTTGAACATGCCCATCTGGCCAGCCATCTGCTGCATTCGCCGCATCGTGCGCTCCTTGTCGGTGTCGGCGAACTTGACCACCAGACTGGACGAGGCTCCCTGCGGCCGGGGCGGCGCGTGAGACCCACCTGCTCCAGAGCCTCCGCCCGCAGCTGTCGGTGCCCCTGGCCTGCGCCCACCCCGCCTGCTCCTCGCGGCTCTTTGGAGAGGGCGGCATCGGTGCTTGCCCAGGGGAATGAGGTGTGAACCCCACCGCGGGCATTTTCTACCTGGGTAACCTCAGGCCAGTTCCTTAACATCCCTGGGCCTCCACGTCCTTGTCTGAGACCCGGGGATAAGGGTCATGCTTTCCTGTCTCTTGGGGAGACTGGACTGCCGGCGGGGCGTGGCGGGTGCTGGGGTCGCGGCCCGCCGCTGCCCTAGCCCCCGCCCCAAGGGGCCAGCACTCACCGGCATGGTCTGGCTGCCGTGTAGCGCGTTGATGGCTGCCTGCGCCTCGGCGTGGGAGGAGTACTTCACAAAGGCGCACCCTGCGGGGACGCGAGAGGCCGAGCTGGGACCCAGAAGCAGGGCCAGGGAGGGGCCGGGAGGAGAGGGCGCATCCCAGGTGAACGCAGACGGATGAGGCAGAGATTGAGAAAGAGACACCAAGAAGCCCAGAGACAGACGGCGACGGCCCGGGAGACTCAGAGGCGCCCTCAGGTCTCCCTCTGCCTCGCCCCTCCCTCCCGGGCTTCCCTCTCGGCCCCGCCCCGCGCACCCTTGCTGTTGCCGTCGGGCCCGCGCAGGATGGTGCACTCCTCGATGTTCCCGAAGGCCTCGAAGAGGCGGCGGACGTCGTCCTCGGACTGTTGCTTGTTGAGCATGCCCACGAAGAGTTTTCTATCTTCTAGAACAAAATTAGGAGATGCTTACCCGGGCCAGGGACCGGGCTGCGCGGGAGCAGGGCACGGCCGGAGAGGGAGGGCGGCAGGGAAAGGGAGGAGCCGGGGAGGCGGGGCTGGGGCTCGGAGCCGGCGGGGGAGGAGTGCGGGGAGGGGTACGGGAGCGGGGCTTAGTCGGAGCGGGAGGGGCGAGGGGGAGAAGTGGGTGGGGTAGCAGCGCACAGCCGCGGGACAGGTGCGGGGAGAGCTGTGGCAGGCAGGAGCTGGATCGCAGCGACTCGGCCTCTCCCCGCCTGCAGGGCAGGCTGCACCCTGAGGAGCAGAGCCCTGGGCTGGCTCCTCACTAGAGCACACGGGCAGCCTGCGTTCCCCTCCTCCCTCCTCTCACGCGCTATCCTCCACAGGCACCAAAATGAATTACAACTGGCAGGTCTGCCGTCGGGCCTTTGCAGATGCTGTTCCCCTGCCTGGAGCGCACTCATCACAAGGTCCAGTCCTTCTCTTCTTCTAGATCTCAGTTTAAGTATTGCCTCCTCACCCATGCTCCTTCTTACCCCTCCCTTACTCTGTTTCAGCCTCCCATCCCTTGGCCGGAATGTCAAAGGACAATGACTGCTTTGCTTTGCGGTTTTCCGTATAGCTCTCCTTTCCCATCCATTCCCTGGGATGCTCACAGGGGAAAGAGACCAGGTCTCTCTGCTGAAGCAGCAGTGCCTGGAGCATAGGAGGCCCTCCATTCAGTGATGAGGGGAATAAAAAATGAGTGACTGCCCGCCCTGTGCCATCCCAGGGCACACCTCCTTGGTATCTCACAAATTTTTTTCCTCCATCTGGATACCCCTTCCTCCTATTTCTTCACGCTGCAAAATTCGACCCTGGGCACTTTGGGGGCACCTGTTCCTGAAGATGCCTCAGCAGCCCCCACACACCTAGGGTGAGTACCAAGTGCTTTTTTGACCCCATGCTGTGTGCTCAGGGAGACAAGGCACCCTGTATCGACCTGCAGCCGCTGGTGAATGACTGCAGAAGGCACCCCCAGCCCACATGCGGCTACTTCAGTGTGACTGCCACTCCTCTCACTGAGAGTTGGGGGGCGTATTCCTTCCCCTTGAATCTTGGTGGGGCTTGTGACTGCTCTAACAAATAAAGAATGGCAGAAGTGATGCCAGGTGACTTCTGAGGTTGGGTCATAAAAGAGATCAGCTTCCACTTGGCTCTGTTTTGGGGGGCTGTTAGATCTGTGGAAGCCAGCCACCATGCTGTGAACCCCCAATTAGCCCATGCAGAAGAGTCCCCATGGAAAGGAACTGAGGCCCCAGCTGACAGCCAACATCAACCACCAGACATGTGAATGAATGGGTCCTCAGATAATTCCAGCTCCCAGGCTTTGAATTTTCCAGCTGAGGCCCAGACATCCTGGAGCAGAGACAGGCCTTCCATGCTGTGCCCTGTGAATTCCTGACCCACGGAATCCATGAGCAAAATAAATGGTTGTTTTACACCACTCAGTTTCGGGCTAAATTGGTATGCAGCCATAGGAACTGGAACAGAGTCCCAGGGGTGGCTGCACTCAGCAGGCATTCACTAGATGTTTGTGGATGATTACATGATTGACACACAGCCAAAGCTGCAGAAATGCAGACCCAAAAACTGCAAATGGCCATGTGTTCATGGTTTCCTCTGAACACATGGGCACTCAAGGACCCTGTGTCCTTCTGTATCCAAGGTGGTTATTACCTTCTCTCCCAGAGAACCCCCACCTTGCCCAAATTGCCAGGGGAGTTCGCTTAGAGCTGAGGGGCTGTCCCGGGTTCTGAAGCAAAGCAGAGGAAGCTTCCAGGCCCCTGTGCTCCACAAGCCACCTGCAGAGTCCTCCTGCCTTCTGCCCTGCTGGTACTACTCAGTCCAGATGCACTCAACACTGGGCCAGTTCTCCATGATGACATGGTGCCGGGTCCCAGTTCCTTCCACAACCTGTAGGGCACAGTTGCTGGTCCCTGTTACCAGCTGTGGGTCAGAAAACACCAGCTGGCCCTCCAACAGGGTGGGCCTCAGCTAAAGCTCTGGACCCCAGAGCCCCAGCCCCACTTCCTGCCTCAAGCTGCTCTTCTGGCTCCTTTGGCTTGGCAAGACTTTGGGGCACACTCCCACCCCATCTCCGAGGTTCCGCGTGCAGCCTTACCCGCCCCCCTCCTCCAGCTCCAGGCTCTGGGGCACAAGGAGAAGGGAGAGAGAGAGGGAGGGTGGAAGAGAAAAGCTGAAGTGGGATGGGAGGAGATAGAATTCATCGCAGAAAGGGAGAGGGGGAGAGAAAATGACAGGAAACATAGACAAGAGAATTAGAGGCAAAGAGCTGGGAGAAGAGGGCTGGGGGGAAAGATGACAGAGACAGAGGACAGACTGGGGAGCCCTTATGTTTGACTCCTGGAAGCAGCAACAGCAATTTACTGGAAGTGAAATGGGAGCTTTTCCTTCTTTTGTGGAGTAATTAAAACTCATCCCTCCAGGCACAGCCCCCAGTGTTCCCCCTACCTCCCCCTCAACCTTTAGTGCCTTTTAAAGGCTCAATTGAATAGGGTTTCTAGAAAGACTTAGAAATGGAACCCCGCCCCTGCTAATCCCTGGCCCTCTTGCTAAAAATTCCACTTCCTCACTTGGACAGAAAAAGGAAAGAAAGGGAAGGCACCTCCTCTGCCCAAGCTTGATTTACATGCGGAGACCGCAGCTCCTCGCCTTCGCCTCTCCTGACGTCTGAATGCATTCCTTTATTATTGCTATGACAGCTTTCTGATTGCATTAAAATTCATCCACATGTGCCTTTCTATCCAGCCACTTCCTTTTTTGCCGGTTTTGGGTTTTTTTGTTTTTTCCTAATTCCTCGTTCCCCTCCCCTGAAATCTCCCTTTACTGTGCAGTTCTCAGTTAAGCGCCTCCTTCTCGAGGCCTTTCTAAACATATAAGCGGCCAGGCTCCCCTCTTCCTCCCCATCTGGATTTCCCCAGGGAAACTACAGCGACCCTTACCTTTCTGGATACCTTGCAAGATACCAAAGAAACCCAGCTTCAGACCCACTTCCTCCAGGTAGTCGTGGATTGACCACACCCAACTCAAATGTCTGCTTCTAGGATCCTCAAATGCGTTCAGTTTGCACCATCCTTCGGTTGGGTGTTGTGACTTATACGAGTGATTCTAAGGCTTGTCTCTCAGACCAGGGGCTGAAGGGACTTTGAGTTCACCCGTGGACCTTCTTCAGGGCCAGGCCCACTGACTCGCACTCCCACTCCCCTGCTCCACACCTGAGTTTTGGGATCTATGAAATGGGTATGGTTAGATGCTTCTGTCATGGTGGTGGCTAGGGTCCCAGTGCCTGCCAAGAGGTCATTACCATGGCAATGGCCCCTACTTGGGTTTCTCCATGCAGGAGGAAGAGGAAATGCAGTGCTGTTTGCCCTTCATTTGCCCTGCCTTGCTTTGGCCTGGAGGGTCACCCCTACTGTGAGGGGGCAGAGGTCAAAGAGGGTGAGAGGAGAAGTCAGAGGATCCACATTTCACGATGGGGAGCACACTTGAAGCAACAGGTTGGACTAGATTCTGAGGCTGTGGCTGACCAGCTGAGATGGATGACATCTCCCTGTCTCCCACCCCCTCTGCCCACCTCCTTTTTGGCCACTTTCCTGAGGCACTGTCTCAGGCTGTATCACATAACCAACGCTACCATTTGGCTGGTGTCTTGGGTCTGATGCCAATTTTGCAAGTCTTGGAGAATGACTCAGTTTTCCCAGCCCGTGCCCACCCTTCTCCATCCACACAGCCCCTGATTCCTGGTACAGGTAGAGCAGGCCCTGATCACTGCCCAGCTGCCTGAGCTGGGACCGCTGGTAATGGAGAGGCTCTGGTGGCCCCCCTGTTCAGGTGAGCCCTCAGCCCTGAGGCTGTTGCTTCCTGTAGTTGGGGTATTGGGGAACTGCCCCTCTGAAGAGATGTTCAGGCAGGTGCTGCTGGACTGGGCCAAAGTGGTGAGGCAAGGAGTGGCCTCAGAGTTAGTGAGGGGATGGGCTGAAGAGTGACTCAGAGGTCACTGAGACCCCTGGGGGCCCAGAGATGTGATGAGCAACTGGAGGCTGGCACTGGGAGCCCAGAATTCTCTTGACAGAGCCCAGCTCAGGTCAGAGGCTCAGCCCTGGGAGTTGGAAACTGAGCACAACAAAATCTGCTGACCTAGGCTGAGGGGACGGAGGCCTCATGGGTTCCTCCGGGTCAAGGGGCAGAGCAAGGGAAGCATATGCTACAGTCTCTCAACAGCTGTTCACTGAGCGCCTTCTCTGTGCCAGACACTGTTCCAAGCATTGCGTCTACAGCGGTAAACAAGAGAGATGAAGCTGCTCATCGGAGCTGGCATCCGGGTGGAGAGACAGGCCATCCACAATACACAAGTGCCCAAACAAGACAAAGGCCAGCAGGGCTGCCACACTGTGGCCCCAAGAACTGCTGTCCTTGCACCTGGAAGAACAAGGCCATCGAGTGGCAGAACTGGGCAGGACCCCGGATAACACCAAGGGTTTCATGCTTTTTCAGACGAGGAAGGTGGGGCGGAGAAGGAGCCCCAGGATGCACAGGAGGTTGCCCATAGCTGGAGCCTAGACTCAACCCAGCCTCACGGGGTTCCTTGATTTCATGATCACAAAGCCCTTGCTGCTGCAGTCTGCTCTTTTAAATCATGTCTGTGCCTGCAGGTGTGAGGGAGCATCTGGGGTTCTGTGGAACAGGAGTGTGACTCCCCAAAGGGCTGGGCAACAGGAGGTGGGTGCCCATCCAAGCCCTGCCTGGACCCAGAGAGGGCAGCTTGGCTCTTTGTCCCCAGATGTCTAACCATCATGGGGGAGTAGGCAGAGTCTGTGCTCACCACCCCACCTGTGCAGGAGCTGGGGCTGGGGGAAGACGATAAAATTGTGGACAGGAGAAGGCCCCAGTTCTGTGTCAGGTGAAGGTGCTTACAGCCACCTCA